TGGTACATGGGGTGGACGCGGTGGTGCGTGTGCCGTCATGTTCGTCTTCCTCACTGCAGCCACTTCTCTCCGCATCGCCGCCGGTGTTTTCGGAGGAGGACGTCCGGCACGAACCGCCCACCGCGGAGCCGATAGACGGCGTTGACGAACACAAGCAGCAGCAGCAGCCACCACCACCGCTGCACGCCGAAAGTGTCTTCCCCGCAGCAGCAGCAACGACGACGACGCCGGAGATGTCTGCGGCTCCCGCGGGGCATTCAATTGAGGGGCGTACGCATCCACAAAACCCTGTGTGCTGGAATTCGGTGCATTTGGTGGCTGTTGCGGGAGAGGAGGAAAACGTGGAGCCGGCGCCGTACTGCGCATGTACGTGCACGAAATTCTGCCAGCGCTACAGATCTTTACACGAAGTGGAAAATGTTGGCGAAACCCGCCTCGTGACCATCGCTGGGAGCGTGGATGCACACAACGTGAGCCGGCAGGGGGGTGACGATGAGAAGCAAATGGTTCAGTCTACACCAGGTGGCATGGTACTGACCGACATGTACAAGACGGCATGCGGCTACACCATCTACATTCAACCGCCAATGAACCCCTGACATCTTCCGTGTCACCCTTCCCTTCTTTTTTACACACACACACACAGCTGCATGTGCACGTATCGCTTTTTTTTTTTTTTAATGACATCTCATTGGGGTTTTCACGGGCCTCAATGACACAGAAGTCTGTTTTATCGATTCCCCTGCAGCGATAGCAACGCTGGTGACAGGACGGACAGAAAAACTGGGAGGGGGGAAGGGGGGAGGCATCTTTACTCCCATTTCTGAAAAGGGAAACGGAGGAGAGTGAGAGAAAGAAAAAAGAAAGAAAAAAGAAAGAAAGAAAGAAAGAAAAAGCAAAATAACGCAGTCTGCAATCAATGCCGCACGATTGATTTAAGAATGATAATGACGGTGATGGTGTTGGTGTTGGTGTGTCTATGTGAACACATACTTTCTTTTATTGTTCCTCCTCCTTTTCTCTCTGTCTGTCTGTCTGTCTGTCTGTCTGTATGGATGTTGCTGTGAGGCATCTGCTTCAATGGACCTCCCCGCCCTTCCCCTCTTCTTCTAACCGCCCCCCTCGCCCACCTTGCATGCATGCATGGTATAATCAGGAGTGCAAGGAGGAGAATCGGGGTGTGCTGCCGATAACACGAGACAGCGAGAAGGAGTGAAGGGGGAAAAAAAGAAGAACAGAAGGAAAAAAAAAATTAGGGGCATTCGTATCACAAAACTCACAATCATGACGGATGCCGAAGAGAAGGAAAAAAAGGCACCAGAAATAGGGAGTTCAGGGTGTGGGACATGTCATCATGGATCTATGTCACCAAATGTACGACGCATGTACGTGACGTTGCGTGTGGCTGCTGTGCTGTTATGGGTACCGCACTCAATGGCGTTAATGTACGTTGTTGCCACCACCACCACCGCCAACAGCATCTCAACGCTTTTTTACGTGTTAACGTGTAGTCTTTTCATGATTGCCGTCACGTACTACTTTGCGGTTTACAAGCAGTGTGGGGAGTACCTGCTGATTATTTCATGGCTGTTTGGTGTGCTGAGCGAGGAGGCGTGGGTTTTCATGTTTCCCGACACGGTCGCCTTTGCTCAGCGCAGCCGGCCGACGTTTTTGGCGGCCCCCGTTGTGTCAGGTGGAGGAGGGGGAGGAGGAACGATCGTGCATGCAGGCGGGAGTGGTGGTGGTGGTGTTGAGGATCACGACAGCCCACGCCTTCTGTGGATTGCTGTGTCGATGCTGCAGGGTATCGTTGGTGGCATCCTGTGTAAGATGAAAGATATTGACGAGGATCGTTACTACCCCACACATGCCATCGGGGAACGGCTGTATGTTGTGGTGCCATTTTGTACCGGGCAATGGCTAAGTTTTATTCTACAGAATGGCTGGCGTGGTATTGTCGTGGAGAACCTTACGATACTTCTTTCCCTTGCTATGGTGGGTTATTGTGTCATTGGCTACAAATTATTGCAGGAGCACACATCATTGAAGAAAGGTGACTTGATTGGGTTTGTAGAGGAGTTATTAACAACATCTTTTGGCGTTGTGTTTGCGGTAATGTTATTTGGTAGTATTTTTGTGACATTATTGGCAATTCCATTTTTGAAATCACTTTTTTCACTCAACGCACTTGTAAGTTCAGCGGGTATTATATTGGAATATATCGTGTACGAGGTGGCGTAATAAAGGTACACACGTGTTATCTATCTATCTATGTATCTATCTATCTATATATATATATATATATTTTTTTTTTTTTTTTCTTCTGTTGCTCCTTTCCCCTTTTGTGTGTACATGACGTACATGATTTATACCGGAATACCCTGGACAGGAAGACGTGGTATACATTTTATAAACGATACGACGCAGGACGTGTATGTAATGTAATGTAATGTTATGTATGTATGTATATATTACGTGTAAATAATAATAATAATAATTATTTTTTTTTTTGCGTCTTCTTTGATATCTATTATTTATTTATTTATGTTTTTGTTTTTTTATTGTTGATGCGGGCCGCATACAATTCTTAATACGCACCCGCGGTACAAACGGCCGTCTCGTCTACTGCCGCTGAAGTTGTGAGGAGAGAAGGGGGACGGCATAAGCGGTAGAAGAAGAAATGACGTACTTCACGGTATATTACGGCAACAATGAGGCGATGATGTTCAACGCCGAGTGTACCACCGGCTCGCTGATGGGCCGCATGATTGAATTGCTCGCGCCGCACACCACCGGCTACACACGACTGGAACTTTTGCCAATGAACTTCGTGCTGGAGCACTTTAAGCCGTCCACCAGCATCTCCGTCACCACCGCCAACGACGCTGCCGCAGGTGCCGCCAGCTTCGCACCGCAAAACGCTTTTAAGTCCCCGCCGTTCACTGGAGCCATCCCGTTCGTTGGGCTCGCCACACGGGCCGTTGAGAGTTACGCCGATGCCCTGCTGGGCGGTCCGGCAGCCGCAGCGGTCACGGCCTTTCCGACAACGACGTCAAATTCATCCACCTCGGCGTCAGCTGCCGGCGTCTCAACGAGTGCGGCGTACTTTACAAACAACGGCGTCGGTGTTGGGCCCACTGTGCCGTCACCAGCTCTGCAGAACTGTTACGTCCTGCTTGGGTGCCGGTACCACCACTACCACCCCTCACCGCGGCCGCGGGATCAGGCGAATACAGCAGCCACGACGTCTGGAATGATGCCACCACCATCGGCAGGTTATAAAAATATACCGATGCCCCCAAGAAAAATATGTTCCTCTGAGGCAGCAGCCACGCCCCAGCAAATCGCCTCCCTCTACCGCGCACAACTTATTGCCGCTGCAACGATTGTGCCTGCCCCTAACAGTCGTGGCAACGGGCTCAGCGGCAGTTTCAACGCCTGGACGACAACAACACCCCAACAGGGCGGCAACCCCAACATAGATCCCGCAACATTGCTGCTATACAACAGTGGTACTTTACTCTACGGTGCCAGTACTGCCGTCTGGCGCAAAAACTTTAGTCAATACCTCACCACGCTGCTTCTTCCGCCTCTCACAGAGGGCAACAACAACAACACCGCGACCATCACGAATGCCTCGCCAACCGAACAAGAACGCAATCCAGCAGCCCTCACGGAGGCAGACTCTACCCGCGATGAAAGCAGTTCACAAGTCAATGCCATGCTGCTTCCCCCCATGGCCACAGGACTCTTCAAGACACCAACACCCCCAATCACCGGGTACGACGTTCTCTGGAGAGGGGCGCGTGACGAGCACATACGCCTGCAAGAAACACTGGACGAAGGAGTTTTCACAGACACAGAAAACAACAAAAAGAAGAAGTATAAAAAGAACTGAAGACACGTAAAACAAATAACAGCTCATAAAAAAGAATAAAA